ATATTGTGTAATTTTTACAAATCACTGCATTGTGTTTTTATTTAGAATTATTTCAGATTTTATAATAAAGAATAATATAGCAGAAACATTTTTGCCTGGCTAAAATAGTTTCTTCGTTTTTCTTTCCTGATCATACTAACATCAGAACATGCATGGGTGAAAAACATGAAGACGCTATACAGAAAATGCAGAGTTTCTACCTCAGGTAGTGCTCAGAAACAAAATTAAGTCAGCATTAACATAGCATAAACATTTTATGAGTGGGTGAGAAGGTGGTTAGCACTGTTGCCTCACACCTGGTTCAAATCCAGGCTTCAGTCTCTCTGCATGTTGGAGCTGTGTCTGTGTGCGCTCTCTCTGAGTACTCTATCTCACAAACATGGGTTTGGCCAACTGATGAAATTAACCATAGGCATTATGTATTATGCCTTAATCAAGATATGTCAGAAGTACAATATTTTCCTTTTTTGCACTTAAAACATCACTGTAGTATGGGTAGTGCATATATAGTGCAAAATTCACAAAAACACAACAGTTGCAGTAAAGATTAGATGTTTATAGTTTTACTGCTGTTTACATTCACTGCCACTATCTTGGATTGGCCCTTGCAACCTGAAAATGGATATGCAGAAGAAATGAATGGCTCGAGAAATCTGATGATTGCATCATGCATTTGGTTGTATCTGTTTGATGACTTAGTATGACTTACATTACATATGTAAGACACAGTTGAATGATGGCTCTTCATATTCTTTTGTAACACAAAATGTACATATTAAGAGCTAGTAGGTTTGAAAAATATAAAATTTTTACTCTTACTTACTGACTACTGAATAATTACCTGTGACAATCAGAGTAACTCCAGGAAAATCCAACTGTTTCACTTCTTCATTTTCTGTTGTGATGGTGAACCTGTATTCTGCTGAGTCATCTCTCTTCAGCTTCTTTAATCTGAGGATGTGTTGGTTCTTCATGCTGTCATCATACTCCACATGATCTGCATCCTCAGTCAGGTTCCTCCTGACGTCCTCCTCAGCATTTCTCTTGACTTTATACCAACATTTAGACTGTATCTGCTCGTAGTCAGGATGTGAGTATTTACTGGAGATGTTGACTGAAGATTCTTCCAGAGCACAGATTCTGCTGTGGGCATAATTCAACATCCAGCAGGAATCACTAACACCTGAAATATCGATAAGACACAGATATTTTAACTGAATTTGTCAAATCAGTTTATTTATATTATATATTTAAACATGACAGATGTTGTGGGTCGGCTAACTGACAACAAATTACTACATAACAAGTAAAAATTACTTTAAATTATTGTAATAATTAGTGATAAAAATACAAAAACAACTAAATAATTTATAAGAATAAAATAATAACATTAAAAATATATAAATCAGGGAAGGAAATATATTCAGGAAAATGACAGACTGAGTTATTCTTGGCTGAGACTGAAAAAGCTAAGCAGAAGTCAGGAGATGAATACTGTTAGTATCATAGATGAGCAGATCTGAAGAGGGAGATGAGTCCAGAGTTTTGGATCTGCAGCTGAGAATTGTGATGTGATCACCAACATTTACAAAATAATTTATCACTCATTAATGATCAAGAAACTGACCTAGTTTCAGTCATTGTGGAAATGTACAGTTTATAAGGTTGGGGAAAACTGCAGTGAGCTGAGACTCAAGAAGTCACTTAGATGAAAGACAAAACGTTTCTCCCACTGAAAATGCTATGTCCAGATGAACAGAATGAACCTTGTTGGATTTACTAGTGTGATGATTAATAGACTTAGTTTTAATTGCAGTGGTGATAATACTTTGAAAGTTAACATTTTTACTCACAGATGTCAGCAGAGCGCATATCCTCAAGACCTTTCACAGCACAAGACAAACCATCTGGATGAGAGCTGGAAAACTGAATCTGTTTTCCCTCATTCAGTGTTGGCTTTCTGTTCTCATACCACACAAAGGAAATCAGAGGGTCAGTCAGAAAACAGCTGCTGTTACAGGTCAGTCTGATGTTACCTCTGTGTTCAGCAGGAGTCCTCTGGACATGAATTTCTGTTGGAAGATGATAAACACATTTTCCACCAGTTCATCTCTGTCATGTCAAATAAATTAACAAATAAAAATGAAGTTTCAAAGTGCAGTTTGTCCAGAACTTCACCTCTGGGATATGTGATGGAGCAGGACTCGTCCACTGATGTCTGCTGAGAAGAACACATTCTCCCTTTAGCATAGGTCACACTGAAGCAGGTCTCTGTGATGGAACCTGAGAAAAACCAACAACTTCCAGTAAATTCATTAGAGTCTGAAGAGTAAAGTGTTTGTGTTTAACATCTCATAACATGATGAGGAGGCGTCCATCATGACTCACCCACAGAGACTTCAGGGGCTCTGAGATCCTCGTAGCCTTTGACAGCACAGGAGTATGTGACTGCTTCCTCACTGCTGAGCAGCTCTTGGTACCAGGGAGACCAGTCCTCATAGAGAAACTCTCTGTTCTTGTACCAGATGTAGGCTGCAGGCTTTTCAGTCAGAGGACAACTGCTGCTGCACATCAGTGTTACTGTCTGTCCCTCTGTGGCAGGAATCACCTTTACCTGCAGCTCTGAGAAGTCACATGACCAACATGAATACACTGATCATCCATAAACTCATTCATTTGTGATGCATTTGTAAAAAGAACTGTACCTGTAACTTGGAGATGAATTCCACTTTGTTGGCACTTTGATCTGTCAGCAGTTTTAATGCAGCAGTAAAAATTTGCATCTCTCTCTGTCAGATTATTGATTGTTAGAGTGAAATTACTCTCTGCTGACATGCTGTACTTTACATGTGTTTCCTCTACTGAGAACATTATCTTGGAGACAGTATCGTGTCCAGTGTACCAGCTATTTCTTGCAGTGGGATGTTGATCTGAGCAGGGCAGATTCACTGATGAACCTTTCAAGGCACAGATGCTGTTTGGTTTTCCCTGAACACCTTTAACACAACATGTGATTAGAAAACATTGTGAACATTTATGCTAACTTTCATTTCTGTGCTAATCTGTGATGACAGCATGTTACTGTGAAGGATCACAATCTGGTGCTTTGATACACTTGACAGTTCAGAACTTCAAAAAAATCATGTTAACAGTAAATCTCTTAAGTGAGTTTGTTTACAAAATTCACTTTAATTTAGCTTCTTAGAAAAACTTGTAACTTTCTGCATCTTTTTTCTAGATTCCACAAATAGCATCACAGTCATCATGAGGAGGAGAAACAAATTATTCCTACCTGACAGACACAGAATGAAACCCAGAAACAAACATCCAGCTCCTGCCAACAACATGGCTGTTGTAGATCAATCAAAAAGTTGATTGTGTGAATATAATTTAGTCCTTGTTATGACTTCTGTTAATATCAAAATTTATAAAATATCAAAAATGTGAATAAACGTTCAAATTCATGAGCTGTCTCAAAGGAAAACCTGAATACAGAGCTGATTTCAGCGTGTCTGCAGACAAACACGTTTTAACACGACCAAAGTCACTTCCTCCTTTATAATTATTATTTTTTTCACAACAGAGCCCTCTAGTGAAGAATGCATGTTTGCAGCAGCTATTGGACTCTTACTTTTGAATTTAGTTTTTTTTTTTTTGTTTATTGTCACACTTCTTGTCTTTGTTATTTTTAAAAAACAAAGTAAAAACAAAGTTGTTACTATTGGCAGAGTAACAACAATGATGCAGCATTAGTGGTTATTGTGGTGCAGAAAAAGAAACCTACCAGAACCACTAACAGGCGTGATATTTTCATTTTTCAAAATATCATTTCATTTCATTGATCTGTAAATATACTTCAGTAAATGAGCAGTAAATGTACTCTATTGCTATACATAATAAATACATGTGTGTTTTTATATATTACTAGTATACTCACCTTTGTAAAGTCTAAATAAAAAAAAAATCAGACCAATCAGATTTACTGATAAAGATGCAGTGACTTGCCTATATTAGTATACAGAAATAGAAAAAAGAAGAAAAACGATTTAATTTTTTTTCAATAACACATCAAATGTCTTCACTGGGTCTATACTTTATCCATGACAGTTTAACACACTATTTTAATATGCACCTATGCTGATTTTGTTTGGACAACAGAGAGAGAGAGAGAGAGAGAGAGAGAGAGAGAGAGAGAGAGAGAGGTATTATATGAATGGTAGCATACAGTGTGAGCCTATAAAAGCTGTGTGTACTGTTCAGTAATATTTGTACCCTCTTTTACTCTGTTTTTATTCACATTTTGTGGGAACCAAAATTTGCATTCATTTTATCTCAAATATCTTAAGCGTTTCTCTGAATTTCAATTTTCTATCACTGCTAAGATAGAGCTGTTTTCAGGTCGTGATTAGGCAGGAATCACCTTTACCTTCAGCTCTGAGAGGATATGCATTCACCGGTGTGATAATCATAAAATAATCACTGTTTACAAGCATCATACTGAAACAATGAGTTTAACTCTCCTGTCCCAGCAGTGTTCTTGGTTGTTTCTATACTTGTTGCAGCAGTAAATGTTTGCATCACTTTCTCTCACATCCTTGATCACCTGTGTGGGGAAGCCATCAGACACGCACACGACCCTGGTTTCGTCTGTAGAGAACATACTTGTTGCCCAGCTTGTGCACAGTGTACCATTTCCAGTTGGACTTTGCTTTATCTGACCTTTTAATCCATAGATGTTTTAGATGTTTTTTGTGTTTCCAGTCATCCCTTTACCAGAAACTTTCATTAGCAGACATCAAAGTTTTTAAATGAAACAAAGAAGTGAACCTTAAAGAACATGTATGCTTTCCTGCTCACATGTTCTAAAAGCATGGCTCTCCTCAACCTTCAGCTTTTATTCAGAAACATTGATGGTACAGCTGTTTTTGTATGCCTGATCACTGTCATGACAACAAGGTAGGTTGTTGTTTTGTAGGTAATGACAGATGGCGTTAAGTTATTATATAAAAATGTCCTTCCTTCTTTAGAAAGAATTCATCTTAGTAAAAGAAGAAGAAGACATAGCGTGACAAGAAAGGAACTGTGGTACTGTATGAGGAGGACAGCAGTGGGACAGAGGAGGGTGAGGCTGCTGGAGGACATGTATCAGAACAGTAAAACAGAGGTGAGGTGTGTGGTTGGGGTGAGAGATGGATTCAAACAGAGACACACACACACACTGTAAGACTTGGCCCTCATGTCTCCTCAAATCGCACACTGAGCACTGGCTCCCCACCTGGCTGTGTGCTGAGCCCCCTCCTGTATTCTCTCTACACCCACGACTGCAGTTCGACCCACAACAGCAATCGACACCACAGTAGTCGGACTCATCTCAAAGGCAGACGAGGCAGACTACAGAGAGGAAGTCCTGAAGCTGGCAGCATGGTGTTCAGAGAACAACCTGGCAGTGAACACTAAGAAAACCAAAGAGGTCATTGTTGACTT